CTGATTATATATGGGTCACTTTGTTTGTCTTTAATTATGCACACGAATGCAACATATGCAGAAGCAAACATTTTCTGGCAAATAAAAAAAAAATGGCTTGGGATATTGAGATATGTATGTTTTGTGATAATGCATTAAGAAGGAGAAACACTATGTGTTCCGTGTTTTCTTCATGTTGGTGAAGGACATGTTCAGTTTGGTCTCAAACTGTAATATTCCTGAGCATGTTCACCGAGAGAAAACAAACAGTTACCGGATGACCTACGTCTCATCAAATAAGATAAATCACGGACCTGTTGTTTTGACTAGTGTTGGTGTAGGAATATTTTGAAGGGAAAATCACAATTATTTATTCTTTCGGAATGAAAAATATCTAGAGAATGTGTATCGTTTTGAAGAAGTTCAGATTTAGAACTTATAAAACTGAACTATGTCCAAACCTCATGGACATTACCGAATGTTTTATCTCGATATTATTTCTGAACAAAGTGGCTGTTACATGATTACATGCGAATTTTATGTTAACTACATTTAATTGTAGTATTATAATACAGGTTTATGTTTATTACATTAATATTGATCTGTCTATGCAACGTTCCAAAAGATACAGGAGAGACTACCAGAAACAAATAATTTATTAGCTATATAATTCGAGATTGCATTTTGTACGTGTATATATATACAGTTGTAATGATATATTAATTAAAGAAATAAAAATATCATTATTGTTTTAAAAGTAATTCCACTCCAATTTTCACTAATGGTATAGAATAATTATTTATTATTTCAGAGCTTCACAAAGTTTCTTCCGGGAAAATGGTGACCCTGACCTTTGAGCCTTCTTTATGTCCACCCCTGCTGTATATTCAAAGTCTATCTTGGCAAATTGCAACGAAAGTTCCACAGTTCCCCAAAAAAGCCAACTTTTACTAGTATATAAAGTTGTGTGTCTGTCTGTTTGTCCTTTATTTACCTACTCCTAGATCGCTGGGTCAATCTCAACCAAACGATGTGGGATGATAATTTGGAACAAACAGCATGTTAATGGAGGGTTCACAACCACCTCCACCCCGATTATTGCTATTATTGAGCATTTATTATATTTGACATGTTAATGGAAGGTTCACAACCACCTCCACCCACCATTATTGCTGTTATTGAGCGTTTATAATCTTTGACGTAAGTAAACCACATTCATAGGTGGCACCACATCCTTACACCAAAAAAAATAAAAAATAAAAACCAGAAAAAAAAACGTAACTTTTCTACAAAACAACATGCACACGGTGTGTGTTTGGGGGTGGGGGGAGGAAAACATATTATGTATCTCAGAGAGTGCAATAGCACTCTGTTTGGAGGAATGCAATGAAAAAAAAAAACGGCCGCCATTAACGCAGTATTACATAAACTTAGTTGAAGTTTCTACTTCAACAGCCACCATAAGAGCCGTTTTTTGAGTTACACTCACTTCCTACTTTGACCAGTTACCTTTCAACTTCGGCCTGTTAGACACTTCTGCTGTAAATGATCGTCAATTAATTAATCACGTAAAACACTGTGGAAGGACATTTAGAGCTGGATGTTGATAGAGAGAAACAGAAAACATCCCTACCGCCACTATTTGGCCGCTACCCCTTTCTACAAAGTCACCCTGACCATCGCACAGTGTATATCATGTTTTGAATATATACATATTGATTCCTTAAAGCTTATACAAAAGTTTTGGTGAGGTAATAATGAATACTGTAATAATATGTTATAAATAAATTGTGTGAAAGTTAGGATGTTTGTGTTATTTATCATAGCATCCACCCCACATTTTTAAAGTTCATAACCCGGACAAAGGACGGATACCTCAGCTTGTAATTTATAAAGGAAAAATTTGTACTCCTTTAAACTGGAGTTCCTGAAAATGTCAGTATATTTGAAATGATTACTCTAAAAATAAATTTGATGGGATTGTTTACGCATGCCCTATATGAAACCAATAATACATTATAATACGGTGTGAGTGGTCTTCAGGACAAGTGCCACGTTATTTCGAAGTTGCTTTTGTTACTGATCTATTGTAATGTGCAGTATTATCTACACTATTGATTTATTAAGACCACAAGTATTAATTTTCCAAAATATAACATTAAGATTCCATACTTAAAGTTTAATGACGAGAAGAACAATTTATATCCAAAGCAAGTTTATATGAAGATCGCGCATTGAGAAAAAAAGATGTGGCTGAATTTAGAAATAAAATCTCTGAATTATGAAGGCAAACTATTGACTGCTGTGAGTAATATAGTCTAAAAGCCAACAATCGTTAAATTAAGGCAAGCTGTTGACTGCTGTGAGTAATATAGTCTAAAAGCCAACAATGGTTAAATTAAGGCAAACTATTGACTGCTGTGAGTAATATAGTCTAAAAGCCAACAATGGTTAAATTAAGGCAAACTATTGACTGCTGTGAGTAATATAGTCTA